CCAAGTAACCTACACCAGGTTTCCCCAGGTCGCCTCTCCCGCCCTCGGTGTATAATCAACGGTCTAACATAGTAAAACCATCTTATTTCATTTCAATGCATGATATGCATGCTTAATGGAAATGCAAAGCAACATATTTCATAATATACAGATATTATTGAACTTACTGGTTCAAACCACATCAATTTTGGAGCTTACAGACTCCTTCAACATCAAATATAAAGTTCACAGGCTCAACCATATCACATACAGGGCTCACAAACTGAAACCAATTTATATACGGAGATCGCAGGCTCAAACCACATAATCACATAATATTAATCTCATATTACAGTTTTATGATATTCACATATTATCAATCAAATATAAATAACTCACAAATAATATATTTATGCATTCTAATTACAAATGAATTTCTACTTACCTGAAATTCGCCAAAAACGTCAATAACTCTAACTCTTAAAGCCTTTTTCACTATTCCAGCATCGTATTTAACAACAATTAATTACAAATATTACCCCAATTTACTAAATAATTATTTTTACTCAAAACTTCCTCTACTTAGTAAAAATAGTAATAATTCGTGAACACGGAAAAATACCTGAACTAGGCTTTTAACGAATTCGGCGTAAAAAGTTTTTTTTTTCTTCTTCTTCGCGTTGCCTTCTGCCTTTCTCCTTATCTTCTAAAATTGATATGTATAATTGAGGCGGGGGGTGGGGATTATTACCCCGCCCCACCGCCTTAAATTTTCTTTTTATTATTATTATTATTATTATTATTATTTTATTTATGTAATTATTCTATTTATTTTATTTTATTATTTATGTAATTATTCGCCAGAATATGAAACACATCTTCAAAAACATGCCGATTCCACCACCTTAAAATCCGTTTGAGCCTCCCTAGCTTCAAGCGTAGGTTGAGAAGCCCCGACACTCCCGTCGGAACCTCCCAACTCTCCCAGACCCTATCCATGAAAGAGTGATGGCAAATCCACATGCTCTGAAACAGAAACGCTGATGAAACCCGATGTCGCTCATGTGAAACACGAACCAAAAGGGGCGCATGATCCGAGCACATCCGCGGGAGGTGCCGAACCCGCATGGACTCCACAAACCCCTCCCAGGAACGACTATAGAGAATCCGATCCAAGTGCTTCCACACCCTCCGGTTCATCCAAGTAAACTGAGGACCCTCAAAACCGGCATCAATCAGTCCTGCATCAAGGAGAGCGCCCAAAAAGTCCTGAATCGATCGCAGCCGCAGCCGTCCCCGGCCCTCATTCTCTGATATATCTACAATGGCATTAAAGTCGCCACCGACTATCCAAGGGACCCTAACAACTGAGACTGCAGTCTCCTCTAAGAATCCCCAAATCTCCCGACGTCTAACCACAGTGCATTTCCCGTAAACCCCCATCAGCAAGAAAGGTCGACGAATCTGCGGCGACGATATCTGCACATGAATCCACTGATCGACACTCGCACACAGCTGAATCTGGAATGAACTCTCGACAAACAACCAGATCGTATTTTCCGCATTCCCTATCATCTGAGCGAATCCCAAGCGCCGGCAGAAAAACTCCGGCGCTGCCTCGACCGTCTGCTCCAAAAGTATCAAAATACGCACCCGATGCTCTCAACATAAGTAGTGAATCTCCCGCTGAGCCGGTGGGTTCCCAACACCGCGAACGTTCCAAACTAAGAACGAAAAATCAGTCATAGGAACATGGGGCGACGGACGAACGCGCCTGAAGGCGGGCAATACTACGAGTAATGCGGCGGCACACCTCAGGAAGTGGCGGTCTGCTCTGTACACTGACTCCCGAGGGAACCTCAGACTCCTCACTCTCTGGGGAACCAATCGACCCTGCAGGCTCCACATCAATGGGGCCAAGACAGGAGGCGGCTCCGATGCAACCCGACAAGACTGCCGAAGATCATCTATCTCCGATAAAGGCCCAGAACTCTCCCGAGATAGGACTCCTGAAACAAAACTCCCATCCCCACGAGGGGAAAGAGCCAACACGTCAAACAAGGATGGCGGAGAACCATCCTCGATAAGCGGCAAGCCATCCAGGTCCATATCAAAAGATGGAAAATGCTCCTCCCGGCTATCGAGTCGGCCGGAAGGATCCAAAACATCCTCGAGACGAGAAGGCAGCCCCTCATGTACTACAGGGCACAACACTCTATCCTCCGGATTAGTACCTCCCTCAGCGGAATCCTTTGAGTCCAAAGGAGCAGAACTCTCCCGAGATACAACACTCTTAGCTCCACGGGGGGAACAATCTAATATGTCACACAAGGATGGGGGGGTACCATCCTTAAGAAGTGGTGAATCCTCCGACACCATGTCAAACGACGAAGAATCAACTCTACTCGAGGACTCCGGTACATCCTTAATCAGCACTGCCTTCCCTCTATCCTTAATCAGCACTGCCTTCCCTCTATCAAAGGCGTCCCTAACCTCGATGCTACCACAAAAAGTATGTCCCGGTGATACATATGTAATGGTAACTGTGGAGAAGTCACCCACACCAGGACAATCGAAGGATCCTCTGTGGCCCTAAACTCGGGCGTCCACTTGAGGATGCGCATCGGTGCCCCCCGCACCCTCCAAAGGCCACGGATCAACATTATAGTATAATCACGACTATCAGACAGTCAAATGATAATATGTCTATGGCATAAACGATAAAGCTCATACTGCCCCACCAATCTAAAGCTAGAAAATGCAGCAAGTAAATCATGCCATGACAAATAACTTATCGGGAACCTCCCAACTAAAACATGCTTCCAAGGGGTTAGCCATCACGTACCTCGACGTCTCCGCCGTAGTAAACCGGAGACATGAAACCCCATCATCAGAGCTAGACCATGTTCCGAAAACAGCTGGTCAAGGCCCGTCCATGAATGAAAACGGGCCATCGACATCCGATCGTAATCCTGACGGAACGCCCGAAACAACATCGGTGAACGACCTCCCACCCCATACACCGGTACGAGGTCTGATGTCCCATCTGGTCTGGTGCAGAGTTTGGGTCTGAAGGTGGAGAAATCGGTGTTATTCTATGATAGTCAGAGTGTTTTGAATTTAGCTAAAAATCCGGTGTATCATGAGAGAACCAAGCATATTTATGTAAGGTTGAGTTTTATCCGTGATGTTTTGGAAGAAGGCAGGTTTTCTATTCAGAAAATAGCTATAGAACACAATCTAGATGATATGTTGACAAAGGCGCTACCGACAGAGAAGTTCGAGCACTGCTTGAACTTGGTGAATATTTGCAAGAGGTAAAATCCTCTCGGGGCATCTGGCAGGAAGGAGACGACTGAGAGATACTGACGAACCTATGGCGGTTGGAGAAACTCCAAATCAAGGTGGAGATTGTTGAAACGTTACCTGGATTTAGCAGTCTACCCGACCGGAAACCAAAGCAAAAAAGTTGTTTCAATTAGCAGGATTTCTTTTGGGCTTATTCTAATTAATAACAAATAGGCTTAGGGTTTATGGTGTTTTTGGGTGCTTATAAATAGATAGCTATGGTTCCTAGTCGTATGACATGATTGTAACTCTCTGAATCAATATAATAAAATCTCTTCGGTTCTTATCCGTGGACGTAGGTTGACATACCGTCACTGAACCACGTAAAACCTCTGTATTCTTTATTTGCTTTCTTTCTCATTTTTTCATAACACATATGGTATTGCTAGTTCATTTTTAATTTTTCTTTTAGGGACAAATACAAAATATTGTTTGACTATTATTTGTAACATACAGTATTATTTTTCTTTATTTGCAGGAGCTAACTAAATTTTGGATTCAATTGTAAGGTCATTATTCTAAGATAAGTTCATATTTTATTCCAAAACTTTTACTTAATTTTTCAACTTTATCTTTTTTTTTTAAAATGAATATCTAATACTAATAAATCCAATATTAGCAGATATGTTAAATCTATTGAAATTTTTTATGAACAATTTAAATATATTAGATCTTATAAATATTAGTTCGAATAATGACTAACCGCAAATCTTGTGATATTTTCATCTATTATCTTCTAAAGTTAAATATGTTTGGACATCTACTCATACATGAACTAATTAATCGTCTTACATCTACTTGAATTAATTCAAAATAAATATAGCTATATTTTTATTAATATATTTATGCGATGATGGTGTAGATAATAAAAGGATTGTTTGATATTTTTCTTGAATTGATTTTTTATTTTATTAGAAAATGCTTTTTGTATAATTGAACGAGTCCATTCAATATATATTTTCCTATATTTTGATAAAGAATTGTCCAATTTAAATAATGAATAGGAATATGAATTTCGTGATTTTGAACTAAGCTTATTTTAAAATATGAAGTTAGTTAACAAACTAAATAAGTTATTAATCAATTAGTTTATATTTTATATTTCATTAGTCTATCTATTTAAACATTTTAAAATGAACAAATTTGATTGATTGCCGAAACAAAAGATCAATTAATAAAGGCTAATGGACTATATTAGTGTCTTATATATAAAAATATATTCTATTTAATTATAATTTACAAAATCAATTTTCCCAAAATCTATCTAAAATATAAAAGAGAGAAAAAAATTAAAATTAAAATTTTGAAAATTAAGGATATATATAACTAGCCAGACTTACACGGCAATACCTATAAAACGTAGACATATATGTAGTTTTAGTGGACAAATAGAGTATATATATATTTTTTTTTATAAAAAACGGCAAAACATTATAATATAAGTTCTATAAACAAAACTAAAAATACATGTGAAATAATAATATAATGCAATGTATATATATAACATAATAATAATATTCATATTTACATATATATTTTTTTTTTATCATATTCATACAATTTTTTTTTCTCTCAACAAAAAAAAAAAAGAAAGTCTCCGAACCTATTTGAAAAGAACCATAGAGGAATTATATTATATATAAATATTATAGTTGAAGTAAGAGATCATAGAATTAATCGTCAGGTGTAGGTGTAGAAGAGGGAGTTTGATCGGACTCGAGGTGAGTGTAATCACCCCGCGCCTTGATGAGCTGAATGTGGTGATGCTTGCAATACAGTACGCCTTCATGCGCTATGTAGTTCGATGGCGTTATGTGACACCCTCCGTAGCTACATTTGAAACAACCTTTGTGGTATGCTGTTCCATTCACCGTTACCTAACATTCATGCATATATCATCAAATTAACGCTAATTAATATTATCAGATAAATTTAGCGTAAATCCTCCATTTACTTTAAAACTTGCATCGTGCTCCCTTATACTTTAAAAAATATTGCATGAAATCCCTGTGTGGTTTCGAAACTCAGCATTTTACTTTAAAGAGTTGCATGACGTCTCCTTATACTTTCCAAAAATATTGCATGAAAACTATCTGTCATGCAAAACATATAAATAAGAAATCATATTCTCATCACACAAGAAAAATTTTATGATGGTGGGGTTTAATGCTAACGTTTTTTAAAGTATACGAGGGTGTCATACAATTTTTAAAGTATAATGAGATTTTACGTTAAATTTCGAAACTAAATTATAATGAGTAAGTTTACCAAAAAATTTAAACTACCATCACACTATTCATACTGCACATTTTTTAATAAAATATTATTTATTATAAAATTATGTGAATAAGTAAACCTTTCATTAGATGTTCCTTTTTCAAGATCAAGCTCATTTTTTTTTGGATGACGTGGGAATCGCAGTCGCTACCCGAAAGTGCGCACTGGGTAAATCTCTGGTCGACCCTAATACCCTACAAACTAGGCCCGATGGGAAAGTCACACTAGGGGAACCATGTGTGATAGAAAAAATTTAAGTTTGAGGTAAAACAAATACTAAAAAGTAGAGACAAATGAATTTCTTCTGACTTGTTTGTAAAGTTAAATTAAGCCTATCAAGTTTGTTCGGAAAGAAGAGAAACTAATAAATGTTTTAGAACATATCTATATGTAGATTGAAGATGAATTCAACCTTCTCAGTGGGATAAACAGTTTGCTTACAGCCCACACATTTGTCCTTTGTCCCAGCAAACAAACTGGACACTTTGTTAGCATTCTGCAACCATTAAATAAATTTCAAAATTAAAATAAAAAATATATATCAAATATATTACTATAATATCTATATATATTTATCAGTTGCCCAAACACATATTTCCAAATATATATATATATATATGTGCCTGTGTGTGATTGTTAATATTATTATACCTCGCTATCGATAAATTTTTCGGGTTTGTTGACCTTCGGCGCCCCTGCAACAATTTTATTTTATGTGAAAAATGAGAATATATTATATATTATGTAAATGAACACAATAAATTGAAAATTTAAAAATTAATATATATATATATATTATTAATTATATATGATAGAGAATTAATTGTTTGAGAAATCGATATTTTAAATTTCATTGTTAATTAATGGTACCTTCGAAACTTTTATCAAGGCTGCCGGTCATCTTGAAGAGCTGATCGTAGTGAGGCTTGCAATAGAGTACACCCTCGAACGAGTTGAAGTTGCTCAGCTAATTAAATTTAATCAACTTAAAATTTATATATGGTGGAAAAACTAATTGATTAATTAAACCGAAATGATGGAAGTTAACCTCACATAATGACTTTACAATTTCTTCACAAGAAAAAATTGAATCTTGGTTTAAACTATATAAAAAGATCAAAATCTATATATAGATAATCCATATCTATATAGTGTTTGTTCGCGGGTTTGGGTTTTTGATTTTGAATTTTTGAATAGTAAAAAGTTGAATTTGAATAGTTGTTTGCTATGATATAAATAGACGATGATGTGATGTTTTGAATGTAAAATAAATTTATACTATAATATATATATATATAAAAGTAATTATTTGAGTTATGTTTTAAATGAGAAAAAAAAGAAATCCAAAAAAAAACACAACCCAAATGATTTGGTTCCTATATGGTAAAGTGGAATCCAATTGGGGTAATGTACTTAAATAAGAATGAACATAAAATGATGTACCTTAAGGGTGTTGTTGCAATAATGGCAGCGGAAGCATGCCTTATGGTAATGGCGGTTATCGGCTGTTAGACGATCAACGAGATACACCGTTTCGTTGCAGGCTGTGCATTTTTGATTCGCACCGCTAAATGACGCCGCCATTATAATTATTTATCTTTTTGCTTTCTTGTTATGAATGAATTAACTAAGAATTTTGCAGAGAGAGAGAACAATTAATTAATTAATTAAAAAAATAAATAAAGATGACGATGACGATGACGATGATGATGGCTGTGGTGATGTTCTCTCCCGCATGCACTAGCTAGCTAGTTTTTGGAGTTTTGTCTGCATGGAGTTGAAATTAATTAGGGAATGAATTCGGTAGGTAGGTTGGTAGGTAGGTAGGTATACGTAGGGCTGACCATAATATAATACTAGTAATTGTGCGGGCAGACAAATTTACTAATTAATTAAGGATCATTATTACACTAGTAGTTTTGCTGTTTTCCTAAATTAACGCAACTCCAATCCCATGCACTATCTCCGACCAATTGCTATTTTCGTAAGGTAGGTTCTCCAACCCACTCTCCAAATTTGGAGTTGTCACCCTCTTGATGATAGGGTGATTTTTTTTTTTTATTTTAATTTAAAAATTAATTAAAAAATTATTTTAAAATTGTATTTTTGTTTATCTATTTTATTATTTATAAAGTAAATTATTTTTTTATATTTATATTTAAATTTTATAATAAATATTATTTTTTTTTTGTATTTATTATATTTAATCAAATAATATTATATATTTTCATTTCTATGTTGCATAAATATTATTTAATAATATTAAAAAAAATTAATTTATTTAATTTAAAAATATTATTATTTTTAAGATCAAATAATAATAAAATTGATTTAATTTATTAATATAATATTTAAAATATTTTTAAAATTAAATAATAAAATAATAAAATATATGATGTTATTTAAAAATTATAAAATATATATAAAATAAAATACAGAGATAATATTTTTGACTCTACAAAAATAGTATAATTGGAGATGAATTATTGTAGTATGCAAAAATAGAGGATATGGTTGAAAATGATTTATTGTGTATGTAAAAATAAAAAAATTTGTGATAGTTTTGCAAAAATAGATGGATAAGTTGGAGATAGTCTAATAGTTGTTGGTTAGTATTTTTGCTTATCTTTTTTCATTTTTTATTTAAAAATAACATATAATGTGAGCTAGAAGCAACTTTGCCTATGGACTTGGACAAGTATGACTCTCATAACATTTTGAGAATGCCATTTAGGTCTAATTCAATTAGTTCTTCTATAATTTATATTTAGTCTGCTCATTAGTCTGATCCATCGGACTTAGCCCAAACCCTTCAATTCAAACTTAAACTCAATCCCCAAGCCTAAACCAGGTGACCCCTTAGTCCATTAGTTTGTTAGTTGAGAGGTTAGTTTGGAGAAATGATTAGAGAGAGGGAGAAACCATTCTGGTGAGGTTTTTCGAAGGCCTATTCCGGTGGGTGTCGAGGCTTAGAGTATTGTACCGGCCTCCACTTTGAGGCGTAGTTACCATAGGCCATTTTTTCACTGAGGGTCTGAGCCGAACATCGTCGTCCCTATTTTCAGAAAGAGATCAGAGAAAGAATCGAAAGATCGATGTCAATTGGAGCTGTTCGGCGTTGAATCAATGTTGTTCGTCGGAGCAGAAATCAGAACCGCTGCGGTCTACCGCCTCTAATGTTGGAGATCATGCCGCATTGTCGCCAGAGGAACAGCCGACTGTCTTGTCGGAGAAGACAACCTGGAGCTGTTGTTCATGTTCAGAGGAGTCGAACAGAGAGTGTTTTGATATTCAATTGCCTATTTCAATTTGAGTTCTGCAGTTGAATTCTTGCCGGTGTTTGTTTGGGTTCTAATTTTTTGCAATTTTCAGATTTTTAATTTAGCCTTTATTAATTGTGTTAATTTTTTTTCGGCTTAATATTGTTTTAGTTTTATTCGAATATTGCTTCCACTAATTGAATTTTTATTTTTGTATATGAGGCATTGTCCGATTAATTTCATCGATTCGAAAGATAAATTCACAAAAGTAGTATCAGAGCCTCAAGTGATCAACCCCATTGCGAAATTGAAAGAATTTTGGTTCGAGTTTGATAGGACTCAATATGTGGATGAAAGACTAATCTCTCATCATTTAGCTTTTTGGCATATTATTTTCTTTGTGGAATATATGGTTGATACTGAATTTTTTTGGTATTTAATTAACTATGCTTTTTTGGCATATTATTTTCCTTGTGAAATATGTGGTTGATAATCTACTGAATTTTTTTGGTATTTAATTAGATATGTTCTTCTTGATGATTAGTAGAATAATCTTATAATATATTGTAGTTTCTTGTATTTTCTTTCTTGGTGGAATCTCTTGAAAATTATGTTTTGATTCCTTATGATTTGTTACTTAGGTATATTACCTTAGATTATTTTTTTAATAGCTACAACCAAATGTAGTGGAGATGCATGCTAAATTTTTCCTGGTGAGATAGAAAATTTTATGTTAGGTGATAGTGAAAAATGTCTAAAAAATTAAACATAAATTGGAGAATAATCAAGAATAAAATTGATTTTGTTGCATTATGTGATTTCTTTGTGAAATAGATGAAATGCATGTATTGAATTCTTGATTTGTATATTATATGGTTGGTTTAACTTTTCCTCCATAGGTTCATTGTGCATAGTAAAAAACAAAATGTGAAAATCAAAATTTATGTTTCTCATTGGAAATTAGTTGTTAAAATAGGCATGAGTTGTTAAAATAAAACTAGAAACTTGGGAATACATTTAGGTTTAGTGTTCCTTTAGTTGCTGAGTGTTCTTCTAGGTTTACTTCTGGTTGTTGAGTTTTTCTAGATTTTCTCCTAATTGCTTAGTGTTCTTCCAATTTAAGATATAGTAGTTGAGTCTCCGAAAATTTTAGTGGTAGTGGTCGATTGATCCAAATACTTAGGCCGTAGGACTTTATACTTAGCCCGTAGAGGTGTGCTAGAAATTTAGAGTTTAGCTCCTAAGATGTTTTTTTGTGTTTAGAGCTGAGTGTTCTTTAATTATCGTCATATTAGGTGGAGCTCCTGTTATGTGATTATAACTTTTGTATTCAACATGTTCTTGATTTCCTTTGTAAATATGTATGTGTTGTTGATTGTGTAGTAGCTTGTGTGCTTGCTTAGAATATATAGGTTCATTGTATTGAATCTGTTTCAATTTGCTTGTGTGTTTTTTTTTTTTTTTTTGTAGTAGTAGTTGTGTGTACTAGGTGCTAATTTGTTGTGTGATCAATCTTAATACATGTTAAGACTTGTATGTTCTATGTGTGATATAGTTCGTTTGCATAACGCTTGTTTGTAAATGCAGCGAACGACAAAAGGCAATGATGAAACTCATTAATGTAGGCAATCTATATCTATGTAAATATGTATTTGAGATTTTGTTAAATCACGACCAAAATAGGTGGAATATGTTGAAAGTTTTGGCCGTTCAAGACCTAACCAAAACGGTCCCTCGATAATTGATAGTTGGCCCACTCTTAGCCCCGGCCACCCGACTTGGCCAAAATCCTTTAATCCAAACCCAAACCCCAAGCCTAGACCTTTTGACCGTTTAGCTCATTAGTTTTTTAGTTGGGAGGCTAGTGTGGGAAAATTATTAGAGAAATCATTCCGGTGAGGCTTTCCGATGGTTGATTCCGATGGGTGTCGAGTCTTAGAGTGTCAAGCCGACCTCCACCTTGAGGTATGGTTACCATAGACCAATTTTTCACTAAGGATTTGAGCTGAACATTGTCGTTCCTATTTTTAGAAAGAGATCGGAGAAAGAATCGAAAGATTGATGTCGATTGGATCTTTCTTTAGATAAATCGGGGTTGTTCGCCGGAGTAGAAATAAAAACTGCCGCCTTCTGCCACCTCTGCTAATGGAGATCGATGTTGCATCATTGCCGGATGAATAGCCGACTGTCTTGCCGAAGAAGATAGCCTGAAGTTGTGCGCCATCCCGTGTTTTAAGAAGTCGACCGCAGGGAGCTGGCTGCCGGAGAGAAAACCGCCACCTGCTACTGTGTGTCCCGTCATCGTCGGTGGTTTTCATTTACACCATAAATTGAATAGGGAGTGCTTTGATATTCAATTGCCTATTTCAATTTGAGTTGGCCTTTATTAATTGTGTTAATTTCTTTTTCGATTCAATTTAATATTATTTTCATTTTGTTCAATTATTGCTTCTTCTAATTGAATGATTTTTTTTTTGTATACAATGTATTGTTTGAATAATTTCATCAATTTGGGATATAAATTTACAGCATCACAAAAAAATGGCAACCATAATAATATGTTGGTAAAAAATGTTGTTTAATTGGTTATGAAATTTATCGTGACAAATAGTTTTTCCTTTGCTCAATGCTTATATCTCTTCTCTTATGATAATTTTTGCAACTATTATATATATATATATGATGAAGTATTGTGCTAAATATATTTGTTCCATTCTTTCAGTAATAATTGATAAATAATGATATTTTTTTTTTCAAAAAATTTCAGCATTAAAAAAATAAAAATAATAATAATTTTCATTGATTACTGCACCAGAATTTCTATGAAATGCTTTACTACTAGGGCTTATTCATTCACACTTAAAACAATTTTGGGGCGCTTCCGAAAAAACTATCACCTCTACCATTGTTGCATCGAAGGAGCTACTTTGCGACCATTTTATTGAAGAAATTAGAAAGAAAAAAAAAAAAAAAAATACACAAGAACACAAAAAAAAAAATTGATAACCCAGATTGATTAGAATGATTTCTACTAATAATTTTAGAATGTTAATTACAGAGAGAGGGAATATACTAAATCATAGTACCTTTTTTGCTATCTAAGGCTTGCAGTTTCTCACAACTCGCCAGCGTGAATCTTCCAGTGTATTCAGAGATGATGTACAACTCATCATTCGTTCTACTTGGGTGTCCTAGGTTTTTCAATTGATTTTCTTGTTAATAAATTAAGATTGGAATATTTGTTGCAAGTTTTTCTTGGTTTGGAATTTTTTATTCAATTCAATGTTTTACATTTTGGTTTTATTAAATTCAATAATCACATCAAATCGAGAACTAGACCTCCCTCCAAAAAAATAATATGGTCAGATTGTTCCATATACACTCTCTCTTCTAATCCATCATTCAAAAAAGTACTTTTCACATCCACTTGGTGAATTTCAAAATTGTGTAAAGAAACAATCAAATGAAGTACTCTAATTGATGTTATCCTAATTGCCGGTAACTAGGTATCGAAGAAGTCAAATCCTTCAATTTGTTTAAAGCCTTTGTCTAGGATTCTATACTTATCAATAAATCCACCAGCTTTATTAGAATTCACTTACACCCCAATGGTATACAACCTTCATATAAATCAATTAGGGTGTGTTTGTTTGGGGGTTTGGATTTTGGATTGGGATTTGAATAGTAAAAATTTTGAATTTGAATAGTTGTATGATGTGATATAAATAGGGTTTGATGTGATGTTTTGAATGTAAAATTGATTTTTAGTATAATATAAAAAATGAAAAATATATGTTTGATTTGATATTTTTGGGGGAAAAAATTGGATGAATAGTGAAAATCCTCCAAAATCCTTCAAACAAACACAAACTCAGGTGTTATTTGGCATAATGAATTATATTTCACTGTTACTGTTTTTTTTTTTTTCCAAAATAGAGCATCCAAATTGGACAAGACTTCCTTGATCAAAATCAATTAATTCTCCAACATGTATGTAATAAAATCTAAACCAAATATATATTATTTTTTTTTAACTGTGGTCCTTCGGCTACAAAGAGGTTCAGTAACTTCTTGATCAAGAGTAACTACCTTTCTTTTTCTCACTACATAGTTCTTCGTCTACATATTCAGGACCGAGCTAGATCTTTTTTTCTACGTGTTGATTTTTGCAAACAATATAAAATTCCTCAATTTTATTAATTGTTCCTTTGGTGATTTATAGAATGTCCGACTTATGAAGTATGAATCGATAAGAATTACTATTTAGTGCATATCAATAGATACACAATCTACCATCTTTGGGTCAATAGCGACTATCTTGAGAGATAGTACTTTAATTTTTGTTAGGCAACTTTACACTTTTAAATATTTGAATAAGGTTTCTTGCCCTTTCACAATTTTTAAAAAGTTACATTCTTACCCTGAAGTGGATTTATTTTCTTTTGCAAAATATAATTCGTAGTCAAATCGTTTCCCCGTACAATTTTTTAGGTAATCCAAAACTAATCAACAAGTCATTCATTATTTCTTAAAAAAATTGATTTATACATTCTACGACACCATTCGATAGAGATGAGTACGGAGTCGTATTCTAATGAGTTATATCACTTTGGTTATATAATTCTTCAAATGAATATACATATTTTCCTTCTCTATTACTTCAAACCGTCTTTTTTTATATCCTAGTTGATTTTCTTCCTCATTTTTTAAAGTTTTTTAAGACATTGTTTCAAATGAAATATGCCAGCGATGATGACGGTGTGCTATTTATTCATAATAATTCCTTGAAGGGTGAAGAAATAGGACTATATATAGTAAACTAAACCAAAATTAAGGAAGTATAACAAAGATTGCATGCTAGCTGCCAGTGATTTGTCCAAACCATATATAGTTGTAAATGTATGAATTGGTAGTTCTATTACAAGAAATTATGATTCGAACAAACAACAGCTAAAATGATTTCTTAGTTGATGATGTTTGGATTTAAAACCTTGTGCTCTACATGTCAAATAAAGTAACATAGGTTGTCTCTAAAAGTTCATTTTGTTACTTCATTTAAAGAAAAAGCCAAAAATATCCATTAGATATAAAGAAAATCACTATTTTCCCTGGAGATTCAAACTTGGTCCTTCAAATCTCCAACAACTCGTGTTGTTTTTCTACCATAAAATTGTTTTAAGATCTTTCCGGCACCCCCACATGTATATTGTTCAACAGTATCCCGATGATGTTAATAATCTGCAATTTTCTCTTTTCTAAGAAACTTCATGGTTCTAGGTTCCCAAACAAGGCTGAAGAGCCAACTATCTGAAGTATTTGAGAAGAAGATGAAAAATAAAAATCTGGCATTCTACTTTTTGGCAATGAATGACTATTTGTTTTTAACTTCCACAATGGTTTTTTTTTGCATTCTTCTCTAATTCATCGAGTTTGTTGTTTGCATTTATGGAGATTGTCAGACAACCGATATTGTGCCCAGGTTCTATAAATGGTTCTCAAAGGTAAATAATTAATATTATTAATTGTACATTGTTTTTCGATTGAAATCCGGTTTGAAATTTGTGTTGTTATAGTGTAGGGGAAAGTGTATTCGGTCTAGGTAAGTGGCAATACAAAGATTTCAATAAAGTTTGTATATTGTACTCTTGTATTTACATTTTATTGCAGGAAACGATTGCTCAATGTTATACTTACATGTCATATGGTAAACTTCTTTTGTGATTTACATGGTCTCAAAGTGGTTTAATTCCACTTGATTGAGTAAAATTTTTATTTGAGTTTTGCTAAAAAGATTTTTTTTTTTTTAATATGCTGCTAGTCTTAATTTCAGTTTGGTCTTGTTATCCTCTTTACATGTAAGGGTTAGTATCATTTTTAAAATTTATTTTAAAATTGGGTTATTGAATGATGATATAAATTATTTACCAAGTTTTATAATAAATTTGCTAAACTTGGAACCATGCTATAAACATATTGAACTATGGCGAAAGAATTGTTAGATTATAGTTTAAATATGTTATATTTATATATATATATATATATATATATTTAATATGTTGATTGATTTGTTTTGTGAAAGAAAAAATCTTACTTAGATTATAAATGGGATCAATATTGTGGCAACACAAATCAGATTGTTTTGAGTTTTCTTTTGTGGTGTGTTTGTTTGGAAAATTGGATTGGATTTACACTATTCATTCAATTTTTTTTTCCCAAAAACATCAAATCAAACACCTTTTATTTTTATATTATACTAAAAATCAATTTTACATTCAAAACATCACATCAACGCCTATTTATATCCCATCATACAACTGTTCAAATTCAAAATTTTTACTATTCAAATCTCAACTCAAAATCCAACCCCCAAACAAACACACCCTTTATCAGGTGTCGTTTGGGTTTTGATTTGCACTAAATATTTGCCCAAAGAATTGATTTTACCATAAATGAGATTTGATTTTCTTTTTCAGAGTTTTTTATATGTGCAGTTGCATTTAAAAGCAATCTTAAGTATTGGTAATCTTCATCGGTCATGATAAACGGCCATTTTTGTCCTAATCTTATTTGGCGAGTCTTATTTTAGACCTTCATCGGTCATCTTAAGTTGTGAACTTCTCTAAATCGTATTTTGTGATTTCATGGCATTAACAAGAAGAAATAACTTCAATATATTTAAGTTGGTTGATTACAACAATCCAACCAAATTTTCTATTTATTTTACCAAAATGCCTTTTTAAATAAAAGTGTGAGTGGATAAATTTTTTATTACAAATAAATTATGCATAAGTTTAAAGGATAAAATATGTGGCATAATTATCCAAAACTGGAGAAAGTATTTTATAATTTAATTATATTAAATTGACACTGACAAGTTAATAAGTTTGACTTTGACTTTGTTCAAACATCTTAAATACATTTTCAATTAAATTATAATTTTAAAAATTTGCTTTTAAAAATATGAATAGCACAACTAATATTATATATAGACATCATTTTTGCAATATCTATATTTAATAGATAAAATCTATCAATCTCCAATCTCTAGAATACTAAAAATTGATTATGAAAGTTTTAAATTGATTCAAATGGCTCTCATATTAAAACGTTATATATTTAATAACAACCATTAATTTAACAATTCAATAAAATTTATAATTGTCCATACATGTGGATAACACGGCTCCCTCTCGTGTATATATATATATATATATACTTTCTCTGTACGGCGAAAATGAACTCTTTTGTCGGATATACAGTATTTTAGATTGGGTATATTAGTATGTTATTAATAATAAGTTATTATAGTATTTTATTATTTTTTTTATGAGTAGTGTTGTTGGTATTTTAAATATTTTTAGGATAATATATCGATAAAATATATATGTAATATGAATATCATTTTGTAGATAACAAAATTTTATATAATAAAAATGAATAAAAAACTATATTTATTTATTTATAACTAACTTAAAATTAATTTTATAAAAAAAAATGATAAGGATAAAAATATTTATTTATTGAGGATAAATATAAAAATTAAGTGATTTTGGATGGACTATGTGCGTGTGAAAAGTTAAAATTTAATTAAATTAATTTATAATTATTAAGTATATTTAAAAAAAAAAAAAAAAAAAAAAAAAAAAGAAAGAAAGAAGAAGAAGAAGAAGAAGAAGAAGAAATCTCTTGTGTCCCACGATAGAGGGAGTACATCCGTAGAAATCGCGCGCTATATTACTGGTAAAAATCTCCACTAAATTATTACCGTAGCTATATATTTGCTCCCTCCGTATTCGGCAATTAAATAAATATAACCTCAACATATGTACGGACGGTCGTCCCATTTTCCCGCATTCACCAAAACCTCTCTTCTTCTCTCTCTCGCTGATCATAAAGCCCACGCAATTAACGGCCACGGCATATTGACAACCGCCAACCCGCCCGCCATGGCCGCCGGTGCACTGACGAAGATCGGAATCCCGACCCTCCGGCGCCACCACCAACGCTTCCACAGCCTATTGAAAGCCAGCAGCAACCAACACGCCGTTCCATCGCCGAAAATCGCCGGCGATCGTTTCCCCCATCGATTCCAATGCGAAAGGCGTTTGCAGTTTCCGAAATCCATCTCTGCAAAGACCAAACCCCTCGATGTGTTCTCTCGAAGCCTCCGGGCTATTATTCCTCCTCCGGCGACCGGATTGGGTTCGTCTCCTCCAAAATTAGGGCTTATGGGGTGGTATTTGGGAATGATCAAGTCTCAACCCATTCTCACCAAAAGTATAACCGCCACACTCATTTACATTGTCGCCGATCTATCGTCTCAGGTAGGTAACCAATCTAAACTGAATATATTTGAAATTCTTTGTATATTTCATAATATATGGCATGCAGAGCATTGCAATTGGGGAAGAGAGGGGTTGGGATTGGGCGCGGACATTTCGAATGGGCGCGTACGGAATGATGATCATCGGACCCTCGTTGCACTATTGGTTTAACTTTGCATCAAGGCTTTTCCCCAACCGCGATGTCCTCTCCACCATTAAGAAGATCGCAATAGGGCAGATCCTATTGGGTCCTACTGCAACTGCTATATTCTTCTCTGGGAATGCTGCTTTACAAGGTAAGGTGTAAGGTAAGGTAAGGAAGGTAGTAGTAGTACCCGCCCTCCCTTCCTATATATCATCATTCCGAGTGCTGATTTTTCACTTCAGCACACTCATATATATATATATATATATATATATATATATATGCAAACAGCACTCATTAATATTACTCACCGCAAATGCTATATATAATAAAGGTATGTGCTGATGATTTTTTAATGTTGTATACAAGTATGTCATGTGCTATAACATGAGTTGTTTGTTAGTTTATGTGATGTATTTGTATTATACTAACATACAGGAGGCTAAGAGGGTCCCTCAAAATATATGCATTTTTTAATGTAAAAAATAAAAAAAATATGTATTTTATAGTAATTTGGCCCTTCTAATTTTTTATTTTGTAATGTAAAAAATTATAAAAAATTTTATCCCTTGATTTATACTTTTAGTCTTTAAATTTTACTTTTTATAATAAATAAAATATTAAATTTTATGTAATTTTATTGAATTTTTTTCTAAAACATTTAAATTTTCAATTTTTTTTTATTTTTTGCCAGGGTGTACTATGAATAAGAAAAAAAAAACATTGAATCGATAAAAAAAAATAAAATCGATTTTGCCCCCCGAACTTTTACTGCTGGTTCCGTCACTGCTAACATATGCAATGTGTCTGTGTGTTGTGTGTAGTAATGTTGTTGAGACTATTGTTGTCTGTGTGTTGTTTGTAGTAATATTATGTATTGTCTAATAACACACAATGTGTTGTTCAACACAGAATTGAATTTTAAATTCAGCTCTGTTGCCGCGGCCATGATCATTCATATGATTTTGATGATATTCATTCATTCACTCATTTATTCAGGTGAAAGTGGTTCGGAGATTGTTGCTAGATTGAAACGAGATTTAATACCCACTCTAATAAAAGGCATTATGTACTGGCCACCTTGTGATTTTGTCACATTCAAATTCATCCCTCTTCATTTACAGGTATGTTGCATTAACTAACTAATTAATTACTCTTTTATTATAAATTTATTTATTTATTATAGCTATTATTGACTTAATTAATTAATTAATTAATTAGCCCTTAGTGAGCAACTCCTTTTCGTACCTGTGGACTGTCTACCTCACTTATATGGCAAGCCTAACAAAAGTTAATGTTTCCGCCGGAACGGGATGATGACCAAGATAAGATTCGATTCGATTCATTCATTCGTGAGGATTAGTTGCAATAATTTGAACCTCCCTTCGATCGAAGATGCACATAAACAAGTCAAGGTCGCTTCTTCATTAATTAATTAATTAGTTATTAATTATCATTATATTGTCTTCTTCTTTTACTAATTTTGGCGCCAGCTCTTTTACTGTTATTTTATTATAGCATGTATTTTTAGTAAAAATACATAAAATATTATAAGGGTGTTTGGTAAAGAGTTTTTAGCTTATTGGGGAGCTTTTAAGTAAACAGCTAATTTTGGTGTTGGTAAATTAGTTTCAATGAGCTTATTAGGTCCAAAAAGCTAATTTTAAAATAATTAATTTTTTTATATGTCAATTATCTTATTTATAATATAAAAATATTCATATTATTGAATCAATTATATAGCATTTTTTATCACATTTTTATTCAAAATGAATGTATTTATTTAAAATTATAAAAATTTAATGTAAATATATATTAATTAAAAAATTAATCTAATAAAAATACATATACTAATAATTTTTATTCTTTTATATTTATATTATTTCTAATGAAAAAAAAAAGTATTTTTCAATAAGCTTACATAAATTCTTTACAAAAATATTTTTAAAATAATAAAAACAAATCTCTTACTAAAATTTTTCTAATTTTTAAAATTAATAATAAAATTATAAAAAAAAGTCTACACACCAAAAAAAACTTAACTAAATATTTTGAAAATAAAATATAAAATGTCCTTAATTACCATTTTACGTATAAATAACTAATATCAAATCGTTATTTTACCAAACATTTTAATACAAACAGCTAATTGAATCAGCTAGTCAAACTAGCTAATCGAATCACTGAACATTTTATTGCGTGAAACTTCCTTGTGTTAATGTAAAATATGCACGAAACACTCTCATCGTTGTTCTGTTTCAATTAAAGACCTAAATTAAACAAGTTTTATACAAATAAAAAATAAAAAAACATCTTAAATATTTTTTGAATAAAATAAATAAATAAATAATTGATTAATTATGTAATTTTAATAAAATTGATCAATTATTTATTGATTTATTTAAAAAATTATTAAGATATTTTATGGTTTTTATTTGTATAAAATTTGTGTAATTTAGATCTTTTAGAACGGAATATCAGTTTTGAACAAGTACAAATTTTACATTAACCCAAGAAGTTTCACACAATACCTAAAACATAGGTGTTTTGTGTATTTTTATAAAAATACAAAGAAATATTATATAATTTACCCATGTTATTAAGATTACAAACACTAATTCAATTTGGCGGATACATATGAATGTTAACTCAATGTCTATTTTTTATTTTAAATTTGGTTTTCCTTTCTTTCTTGTCCTAAAATGACTAAGCCAAGTAAAATGTTTGCATTCCATTACCATTGTTGTCGCTGAAATTTTCAATTGATGACCTACAAGGGCGTTGAACTGATCGAATGAAGTAAAAAGTGAGATTCTCGGATAGTTCAAGAAAGCTTTACAAACGAACGCCGGTGTATGATTTACAAATGAAAAGAAAAAAAAAATTGAAATATAGCATGAAAAAAAAATCAAAATTCTATAATTTAAAGGATGAATTAGTAAAAATAACATGGAATAAAGTCAAGAGCGTAAAAAAAATAAATAAATAATTAATTCATGGAAACTGATTAGATTGGAATTGGATCTGCTTTCCCTTAGCTTGCATGCCCCTTTTGTTCTCCATAAAGAGGGGTTTACCCGGTGCGCATTTTCGGGTAGCGACTGCGGATTTCTACGTCATCCAAAAAAAAATAAAAATTAATCACCTAATTACTTCGTTGCATTAATAGCTTATGTAATAACCAATTCATGAACTCAATTAGTAATTTTATAAACTATGTATTAATGACTTCGCCATCAAATCTTTATCCAAAAGCCTAATCTTCCATCCATTGACACCATTTCTTCTTCTCTTTCTCCAAACAAACATTTTAAACTTGTTGGGCTAGCTCCTTTCTTCTTCTCCTGGCCCAATTCATCTTACATGAAGTTCAATTCTTTTGGCCCAAATACTATAAGCTCCAAATTCAAATTCTTTTTTAGGACAAATACACCAAAGCCATTCTCCTCAAATATTGTGCAATTCTTGTATACTCTCTTGAGTTGTATGATATTTTTGTTATTCTTGCTTCACGATGATTTTTCTACTCTTGAATTTAGAAGTCTATTTTATCAAATTGTTGACATCTAAATTTTATTCTTTAGAAAGTTTAGGATAGATTACTTCATCAAGGGGTGACATAAGCTCCGTAACTTCCCGAATAAAATCTTGAAGATAAAACTCCCAGCATTTAGAATGTATTAGATTTAGTAAAAGATCAGCAGAAAAATCACCTCAATGACAACTTCTTTTAATACCAAAAGAATAGCTCCTTTATGTCCCTAACATCATCTCCTTAGGAAAATAAGCATCTAAAAGTATCATCGGTAGCTACAATGTATAATTTCAGTTCCTTCCTAGACATGATGTACGGAACTTTTATGTCAAAATAAAAGCCTTTGTTACACTGTGTAAATCATCTGACCTTAACAAGGTGTTAACTTAAGTCATTTTGGGATTAACCTTGTCCTCCAAGTTAACATCATCTAAAAGATGTTGAGGTTCAGAAGCAAATACTGCTATCTGGATTGAATAAATTGACTCTTCTCTGTCACAATTATTTTTTGGGTATTAGAATGGAATTAGCCCGAATGGCAAGCCCTTTTTAGAATTTCTTTTGATCCCAGCTCACAAGAGGTTCTTTCTAGTGGAGGGTGTAGATCGGTCTTAATATGAACTTCAAAACCTCCGAGTGTAAGATTGTATTCATGTCATGTGTTCTAGTTCTATAACATTATTGACAAAGGAAATACAATGTGTTAATAATAAAGAAATTCTAAAGTATGTACCATCATTATTGGATCTTCCTTGGCCTCCACCATATATCCACCTTGTTCTCATTCCAAAAAACTTTTTTTTTTTTGAAGGATAGATAGAACATATTGCAAATGATGGATCATTATCAAATCCTCCTTAGCCTCCACTATTTTCACTTTGTTCTCATTCCAATTTTTTTTTTTTTTTTTTTTTTTTTTTTTTTTTTTTTTATGAAGGATAGATGAAACATATTGTGAATGATAATTCAATTTCGTCCCAAGATGGCCATATAGGTAAGTCCCCCCAAAAACAAAAACAAAAAAATTATTCGATCCTTTTGAGTTCCCAATCTTTTATAATGTAGAAAGAGATAAAATATTTACCAAGCATCTCCATCCATAAGAAATTTCCTAATGGTCTGGCCATCTAAATATACAATTAAAAATAGAGTTTTATATGGCCAGTGTTCATTTCAGAAGATTTCTCCTATACCGCATTCTCCACCTTTGTTTAAAATTGATTATATATATATATATATATTATTATTTGTAACTTTATTTGCCCATTTCACATGACTGAAATCATTTACCATCACATCTCTTTGGAGAAAATTGGGAATAAACTTGTGGAGCTAGAATTATTGTGGAAAAACTTCCATTGGAATCGAATGCAAATTCATGTTGATGTTGTAGGGCTCTTTCTAAGTTCTGATCACTTGCAATGCTATCCAAAGTAGTATTGGATTCCTCATCCTCCTCACCCAAAGCTTTTGAATCGGCCTATCCTTTGAAAATTCATCCTACTCATAATTTCCATTATTTCTTAAGGATCCAGCTATTATCCAGTTAAGTCTTAATCTTCAATTTCCTACTAACATTCAATTCATGTTATAGGTCTCACTACAAAAAAATAATATATTTGTAACAGAATTCCGTCCCTAAAATTCACGTAGCTAACGTAATTTCATTCCTAATTCCTAGTAACGAAAAAAGTAAATTTAGAGACAAAAAAAAAATTATTACAAAAATAATTTTTTCTTGTAGCGTCTCTTTTCTCTAATTCCAAAGGTACAGGATTCCGCTGGATGAAAGATTCTTAATATAAAGCCACTTGTTCCACCTTTCTTTCTCAGAGATGTCTTCCAAAGGATCTTGGGTCTTAAAAGCAAAAAAAAAATAGTTATTTGATGTGATAACGTTTTGTATGAATTTTCAAAATATGAGTGATTTTAATGGTGAATTAAAGTATATTATTTTGTAGCTCTAAAGTATCTTCAAATAATAATTTCTTCTCATGTTAACAGGTAAGTGCCGGGTTGATCACATAAAATTTAATATTGAGAAAAGAATTGAGTATAAGTACTCCTTGTTCCGCCACAAATGATCCACTTTCCTTTTTTCTACCTCTCATAATAGATGATTCCTTTCTAATTTTAGTAAATTATTAATCTTAAATATATTTAATAAATATAAATTAATTAAATTAAATTTCTAACTTATTACACATACAATCCACTCAAAACCCTTTTATATCTATCTCTTCTCAATGAATAAATAATATTATCTATTTTTCAAACTTCCTATTTTTTATTAAATTAGTTTAAGATAGTTATATTTATTTATTTATATTATATAAAATTTTATTATTTACAAAATGATATTCATATTATATATATTTTATTGAGATATAATACTAAAAATATTTAAACACATTTTTCTAAATTTCTTTTAATCATATATTTTAATTTATATTGTTTAAATACCAATAATACTACTATATAAAAAATAATAAAATAATGTCATAATTTATTATTAATAACTTACTAATCTATGCTACTTCAAATACAGTGTCCCTAACTAAAAATGATTCTCTTACCCGGGACGGAGGGAGTATTTTGGAATTGCAAAATGATGAAAATTGGGTGCAGTGAGTGGAGGTTTGCGAATAGCGAATGGGTTCACGAGTGAAGTGAGTTAATGATTAATAGAGGGGATAAGTAAATAAGGGGTGGAAATGGAGAAATACCCTTATGTGAGTGAAAGTATTCGCCATCTACATATAAAATTCGTACAGAGGAATAT